TGCATAGGCATAGATACTTATCACTGGTTTTCCATACACTCGAACACAGAACGATTATGTATGGTACACACTTATTATTTTGCTAATACACCTCAACATGGAACGATTATGTACGGCCAGATTGAAGCCTAGCATAATGCAGGTGCTTTCAGATAACTTCTTTTCATAACGAGTGATGCACACATATCAATATCATATTTTGAAAATACAAAGTAAAATAACATTTATAACGAAACAAAACTTTAACAAATACTTACTTAACAAATACGGAAAGCAAATTAAACATGTGCACATTTTTATACTGAAAATATATAAAATACTTCAAAACTACGTAGGCTATGAATTCATAATATCCACTTACTTTAAGTCCTTAGCAGTCGTAGTCTTAATTTCAGCAGAGTTCTAGCTTTATTTAAGACTTTTTCCTCTAAAAATTCGGCAGTATTTTGATATGATTTTTGGTCACTCTCTTGACTCAAAAATATCCAACACAATACTAAAAAACTAATCCCAAAAATCAAAGAGAAACCAAACTTCAAAACTTAAGAAAAAGCTTATCTTTCTAACGGTTTATAGTTTCCTTTTGATCGTGAACCTTATTCTTGTTCTTTTCTACTTTTTCTACTCTCACAAATTTAATAAAGTTTCCTCAAAATTTTTATCTAAAACCTCAAAATACTCTTAAATATCACACACTTCGTATTCCCTCTTTTTCCCTTCACCTCTATGCTTCTTACTATTTTTTTCTCATTCAGAATGTCTCTTCCTCCCTTCTCCTATCCTCTGTTTATAGGAGTGGGGAGCCACCAAGAAAAAGTTGCCACTATTGCGTCTTACTATTTCATCTAAAATTTATCACCTTTTATTATGTCGCTTAACTTAAAAGGTCACCACTCTTCACATGTCATTTTATCTTAAAGGCCTTTTAATATGTCACTTCATCTAAAAGGTTACCATTTTTCACATGCCATTTTATCTAAAAAAAATTTTCACGTGTCATTTCATTTAAAAAGTTAGTATTTTTCACATGTCACTTCATCTAAAAATTATCATTTTACGTTATGTCATTTTGTCTAATAGTTATATTTTTTCATTATACCACTTCATTTAAAATATGGGAACCTTTTCTCATGCCTCTTCATGCTTATTCCAACTCTTTTATCCTTATCCATCTTTTTTTGGTTTGACTCTACAATATATTCTTGACCTAATTATATATTTTCAAATACATGCAAAGCTAAAGCAAATATATCAAAATAAGAAATTAACCTGGAAGTATTTTCAAGCTATCACAAAACGAGACAAACAATGAGAATGAGAATAGTGGGAAAGATAGAGCATGATCAATTAAAGAAATGTACATGGTCTTTAGGAAATACAATTAGTTTGTTAGAAAAAAAATATATCTATCTCAACTAGAATAGGAAGAAAAAAAAAATAAAACAAAAAATTTTAAAAAATAAAAATTTAGAGTTAACCCGTTTAAGATTGGTATGGCTGAAATTTAGTAGTGTGGTGAGCCTATTCTTGGTTGAATGAAAACTCTTCTAGACATGGTTGGAGTATGTGTTATGTTATAGGTCACCTGGCGACGGATTATTGTGGCCATTGTGTGTGTTTTGGCTGTTTGTGTATCCTCTTGTGATAGTAAAAATCTTGATCCCGCAATGGTACCAATTGGATAACAGATTCATTCGTTCAATTTCAAAGAAAACTTTAAAACTTTAATAACTTTAAATTGATGATTGTGTTGGAGTAAATCGAGAATCGAAAATACTCGCTGAAGAATCAGATATCTCAATTTAGCCAGAAATTTGTAAGAAATTCTTATATGTGGATTTGTGAGATAAATATAGATTAGAGAGAAACTTATAAATGAGTATGATCTTAGTACCAAATATGAGGTGATAATAGTGTGCAATATGAGTAGTTATAATTAGGAAATTAAGAAAGGAAAGAAAACAGGGGGATAATGAGAAAATAATGAGAAAGAGAAATTTTGAGATATAATTAGTAAAGGGGAATAGTGAGCGGGAAAGAATAGATAAAAAGAAAGTTAAGAAGAATAATGAGAAATGAGATAGGAAATAAAATATCTCTGCATTTCATGGTTTTCAAATATAAAGGGAAAGAAAAGTTGTAACGGCCCCGGAAATTTAAAATGGAATGTATATTAAAAATATCAAATGCGGAAGCGAAGTCAAAAATTCGATTAACATCCCTTACACTAAAACCAAAAACGTGCTCA